CCATGAAACCACTTCTATTGGTTTTCAAATGTCATTTCAAACTTGTTGAGCCTGATCCCAGACCTTGGGTCGACCTAGTTAACCAAACAAGCCCTTAAGGGTCAAAATAGGCATTTTGACTGATTTGACTTCCCCAGACCTTAGGATCACCTCAATTGACTTAAAACATCAAACCAAACTTGTTGAGCCAAAATTCGAGTCCCGGGCCAACCTGGCTGACCAAGTCAACCTAGGTTGACATAAATGCCCTTTAATGTTTAAATAGGTTATGTTAACCTATTCAACCCATTTAACCCCTTTCAAGCTTCAAATTAACTCCAAACTATGGCCTAATCATGCCGTAAATCTTGGCCAATCAAATCTAGCTAAAATTGACCAAGTCAACATTTTTAAACTTGATTAAACTAGTTCAAATTATCTTTCATGCCTTCAAACCTCAAATCTTAATCATCAAACCTCTCCAAGTTCAATCCACCAGCTCAAACCACTTCCTTGCATGCCAACTCACAAGCCAGGTGGCATTTTGACTGGTCAAATAGTCAACATGGGCTTTGGAGTGGTCAACTTTGATAAAAAACCCTCTTAAACTTAATCCATCTTAACCCAAATCAACTCCAGCCATTTGGATAGACTCTAGAAGTTTCTTAGGGCCTATCACAGCCTTTAGATCATGATCCAATGGCTTCCACCATCCCACATGCCCATAAGAAGCAAAAATGAGTTTTTCCACTTCATATCCTTGCCTTGTCCTTTCCTTTAGCTTCCCAAAAATCCTAGGGACAGATGGCTTGATCAAAAACACTCCCTCAGTCAATCCCAGCTAAGGGAATGATTCAATGGGACCAAATATCCTAATTAAGGTAATTTGAACCTTAAGCCTTGATTCACTCAATCCTTCCTTTCCAGAGCTATTCCAGCCCTCAAAAACCCTCAAAAACCTCCTCCAAATCTTTCTCTAGCTTTTCTAAGTCTTTCCTCACAAGATCTTGGCCTCCAAAACACTCATTGATGAAGAGAGATAGTCTAGAGAGAGAATTAGGAAATTTCTGAATAACTCCAAATCCAGCAAGATCCTGCTCTTGAAATCTTGACCAACGTTGAATAGGACATCTTCAGCTTTCCAACGAACCCAAGAACGCAAAAATCTGATGGTTGGATTGTAAGTTATTTGTGTTTTTATTTATATTTTAAATTTGAAATTGTAGCAAATATACAATGCATGGAGTCTCCAAACTTCAAGCATTGTTAGATCATGTTGCTCTCTAGCTACAATTCAAATTTCATGCAATTTCGTTGAGTATTTTGAGAGATATGAGCATTTGAAATTTCTTATATAAAATGAACTGGGGACGATCTAGACCGTCCGATCAAAGATTAGACAGCCCAGATCTGGCTATACCGTGCGACTTCCTCCCGATTTGAATGCGGGTGCTGACGTGGTTAAATGGCGGGTCCCCGCCCACCACATGGCGCGTTCCCATTGGGCGCCGCCATTCCGCGGTCAATTTGCCTAGAAAATTAAAAAAAAAATAGAAAAAGGCTCAGATCTTCCAAAATTCATAGAAAATCAAAATTTTCACCAAATTGGACATTCTTGGGCTCTTTAGAAAGGGAATTTAATTTAGTATTTAATAAAATATCTTTGTATTATGAGATATTTACATTTGTTTGAATTATGTTTTTTACAATTTTCTCACAATCCAGTGATCAACTGGAGTTCAAATTTTGGTGGAAGATTATTGGGTATCTTAGGCATGTTTAATGATTTTTCTAGGGTCAGATACCCAATGGATTTCTATTATGTGAATTTTTAAGGTAAAGGGTCCATTTTGGACCCTAAATTTTAAAAATTCATAACTCTTTACGTTCATAGTGTTTTGCTGTGAAATTTCTGTGGTGTGGATACATGTATGCTAGGGATAGACACACCAAATTTCAAGCCAATTTGAACTGTAGAGACACCTAGGGAAAATATTAAGAAAATGTTTAAAAATTTTAGAAAATTTCTAGGGCATTGTACACACACCCAATAGGGGTGAAACTTGAACACAGTAAACATAGTGAATTTTACACCTTAGGTTCAAATTTCATCCAATTTGGAGGTCATTAGGTTAGAAAATTAAATAAGTCAAAGTTAACCTTTTAATTAAGCATTATAACTTCCAAAAAATAATAATAAATCAAATTTAAATCCAAAAAAATACAAACAACCCCTCAAACTGACCACAATTGAACCCTTCATCAATAAAAATAAAACCAATTTGAGTTTACAACAAATCTGGACTTAATTTAATTTCAAGTGAATTTGAATATTTAATTAATTTAATTAATTAAAAATAGATAAAAAATCCAGAAAATTCCCAAACACTTTAGAATCTCTCCTTAGGTCATTCCTGAGCTTTGGAGTTGATTTCAAGGAGTTGGGTGTTCATTTGGACTTAAATCAAGAAAACCCTTTCTAATTAAATAATTTCAAAAATTCAATAAATACATCAAACTTTGATAATTCATAACTAAGTCAAGAAAATTCTAAACTGACCAAACTTAGTTGCATTCAACTCAAAATTAACTCTAGTATTTATTAAAATTTTCAAATCTTCCAAAATCAGTCAAAGTCAAAAAGTCAACATTTTGGTCAACCTAAGTCAAAATCAATTCAAAACTTCAAACCTTCGTAATAAAATCTAGAAAAATCCAATTTCAGCGTACTTACAGTCTAACTTATGGCCTACCTCACACACTTTAGATGGTTTGTTAGGACAACCAACTCTAGTTTTAGGATAGGCCGGTGTTTACTTTTCCACTTTGTGCCGGGTTTTCGAGCTTTCATTGCATGCTGGTTGTTAGCTTAGAATTGATTGATTGTCTGTTTATTTATTTACTGCACACTGTTGAGCATTCAAATTTCAAATATATCAACTACTTGAGATCAATTATAACTGCTTGGGATTATATATAACTGCTGATTATTAGGATAACCCTACAGGATCAAGTCTAGATTTTTCAATTTTGATTAATGTAATTTGATATAATTTGAGTTGTATTTAAAGTGATTTGAGTTGGGATGTTTAGATCCAACTTGAATTCCAAAGAGGAGAAGACATCCCTAAAAGGGAGAGTCTTCGTCCATTTGGAAGATCAAGTTTGGATGATCTTCAAGTATCCAAAAAGAAAAGATAACACCCCATTCAAGGGGGAGTTTCTATTCATTTGGATATCCAGAACCGACGAATTGAGATGCTCGTGAGAAGATAAAGAAGTGGATGATGAGAAAAATCCCAAATCTCAAGTCACTTGAGTTTTAGGATTAGAAATCCAGGTTGTTGTCAGTGGTGCCCGGCCACTTTACTTTTCTATAATTCTTGGATGTAATATTAAAGGCACTTGCCTATGGAATTTCAGTTTGAATATTAATTTAATTAATTTGATTAATGTTTGATGTTGATTGCGATATAGGATTGTCTGCTTTTTGTAGTTTTTTGGTGATTCTTGCATGTCGATTTTGATTTAGCCTGTAACCTGATCGTAGGCTCTTAAGGACTCATTAAAATTTTTCTACTTAAATCAAATTAAAACATTTAAGCTCACATAGAAACCCTAACATTTTAAGAAGTAAGCTCGGGACCGCCGGGAGTTCTCATTTCAAAATCTTTCATTCAAATTCAACCATTTAATCAAGTCAATTAGCATGCATCTCATTAGTAACAAATTTAAAAATCTCTAAAACTTTAATTGCATTAGCTTAAGCATCAAACACCCAATATAAGTCAAAGGGCCAATTAGGAACTGCTCTAGATGTCGGCCCTATTCTTGAAAACCTATCTTAAACAATGTCCCTACCCATTCTAACATTAAATGACTTGATACATAATTTTAAAGTGCCTAGGTGGTTTAGCTGGCTCCCTAATCCAGGCCGGAGTAAGTCCAGATTTGCATTGCACTAGTTAGGTTCGGGTCACTTTTAAATACCCAATTTAGACTTAGGTTCCGAGGCTGGCTCGGGCTATAAGACCTCAACCTTCTGGAATTGAATCCCAACTTTCTAATAAAATTGATTACATAAATTAAAAATCACTTTAAATCAAATTCAAGCCCAACACATAGGATAGGTTGGAGTGTTTTCTGAATTGTTTTAGAATCTTAAAAATACTTCCTACCCTTCTTCCTTTGACTCCAGAAATAAGTGTTCAATATTGAACCAATCCCATTTAAAAACTCTTATCCTTTTCCTCCTTTTATATCGATCTTTGAAATTATTAAATAAAATTTGTACTGCTATTTTAATCGAGAGTATACGTAGGAAACTCTAGCTTCCTACGATGCAATTAACTAGGAGGGCTTGCGCTCGTAGGAGATTTAGAAACCCAGACCGGATCTAGATTTTAAAAATCAAAATTTTAAAAATCTTTAATTAATGATCTTTGGGAAAAATCAAAATCCAACGATCATTATCGTTATTTTCAAATGATTAATAATAAGTGATATTTTCTTTCTTCGGAAAGATATGTCGTTATATGATTATGATTTTGATTATAAAATTAATGATCATTTTATCCATATTAGCATAGTCAAACATTCGATTAAATTCCTTTTTGACCCTTCGGGGTCAAATGTGATTCATTCCTAAGTTTGGCTACGATAAAAAATTTTATAATTCAAACCCATTAGAGAATGATATGTTCACCTCTTGAGGTGATATATTATTCATAATGATGCGTTCAATTTTAAAATTCAAGAAATTTAACTTTCCCAAAGAAAATTAATCTTTTTTAAAAAACTACATTTTTTAATCAAACAATTTTGTATTTGGCTTAGGTCCAAAAGAGATGAAGTCTTTTATCATGAGCAATGATTTGCATGAAGTGGCTTGTGTAGGGCAAAAGTATACTTGGTGTAATAACAAGAAGGGAGCTGAGAGAATTCTTGAGAAGCTGGATAGATGCCTAGTCAATTCTATGGCCTTTTCTTCTAATAGATTGATAGTGAGGCATTAGGCAAGGATGGCATCGAACCATTGCCTGATTTTGTTGAACCTGATGGATTTCAAACCTATAAATAGAAAGGTATTAAGATTTGAAGAAGTTTGGACTACAATCCCTGCATCTATTGTTGTTGTTAAAAATTCTTGGGAGAAAAAAGTTTCAGGAGATCCTTCTCAAGCTATAAATCAAAAGCTTAAGAGAATTTTGAGAAACCTTTATTACTGGAGTAAGGCTAAATTCAAATCTTTGAATTTGTCTAAAGTAGAACCGAAATCAGAAGTGTTGAGGCTGCAAGAGTTGGAAACTGCAGACGGATTGATCCTGGATCAACTCCAATGGGAACTTAAAATCAAATTGGAAGAACTCAACTCTGTAATGACTCGGTTAGACACCTGGTGGAAGCAGCGTTCTAAAGTTAAGTGGATTGTGGAAGGGGATTCAAATTCCAAATTCTTCCAAGCTTATGCAAGTGGAAGAAGAAATGGTAACTTCATTCATAAAATTAGGGAAAGAGTCCCTTTTGCATAAGGTTTTGTTTCCTAAGTATGGGAGTAATCTGGAAATGGAATCTGCAAGGAGAAATGCTTCGGTGTCCTGGAAATTGATTTGTAATGGGTACAAATATTTGAAGCCAATTGTCAGGTGGATAGTTAGGGATGGAAAAGCAATTAATGTTTATGAAGATATTTGGGTTTTGGATAAAAGTTTTCAGTATTGGCCTACTTTTGTCAAACCAATGGAAAGTAGCAGTTTATATGTGGAGAATTTCTTAAAAGATGGAGGTTGGGATAAGTTAAAACTGGAAGAGTAATTTGGAGAAGAATTAATTAAACTGATCTCTTCTATTATTTTATGAAATGGTGAAGACAATTTAGAGCTTATATATAAGCTCTAAGGGAAAACCTTATCAGAACTAGCAGTTGAGGCTTTGGAAACTGGAAAAATAGAGAAATCTGCATGGACCCGGTTTGATAAAATGAAGCTTAATCCGAGAGGGAGGTTATTCTGGTGGAGATTGATCAACAATGCAATTCCAACTTATCATTTTCTCTATTTTAGGAGGTTGCAAGCATATGATAAGTGTCCTAGAGGGTGTGATGTAGTGGAGAACATTGATCTCATTATTTTCGTGTGCATGAAGATTAAAGAAGTGATGGCTGTTTTAAACAAATGGGGATTTGGCATTCCATATTTTACTTCTTTGGAAGCTTGTTTCTTATGGCTGGATTTGTAAAATTCCTGGATGAAGAATCTTTTTTGTAATTCAATTTTCCATTCATGGAAGGCGAGGAATATTTATGTTCATGAAGGGAAAAACTTCAGTGTGGTGATGTTGCTTCTGAAGCAGTTTGTAGCTCTGCAGTTTTTAACAATCTAAGTTGCTCAAATTTATGTATAGATGGTGCTAATCAACCACTTTGGTTGCTAAATTATTGGCATTCTCCTCCATCTGATTGGATTAAAGTTAACATATATGCTGCTCTTCACAACTCATACAAGGCTGGAATAGGAGGGGTCTTTAGAGATCATTATGGGAAGTTTTTGTTGGCTTTCAAAAAACCTCTAATTCATTGGGATGCAGCAGCTGTAGAGCTATAATCTATCCTTTCTCTTAAACTTGTTATCAAAGAATGGATGCTTAATTACAAAGGACTTATCATTGAAGGCGATAACATGAATTTGATCAATTTCATCGAGGATTTGGTGAAGAAAGGAGGTAATGAATCGATTGACCTTTCTTTTATCAAAAGTTTTGATTATGTTATTTTTAACTGTGTTGATAGGGGGAGCAATAAGTCAGCGGATCTTTGTGCTAACTTTGCTTGCTTTAGCTCTTTTCTGTGGAATGATGTGAGTTTAAGTGATATCCCTCCTTCCTTCATCAATTTGTTGGAGAAAGAGTCGGATGCTTGAAAAGTGTAGTCTATTTTTTTCTTCTTTTCAATAAAGCTTTCTTGCTTTGTCTTCAAAAAAAAAAAGAATGATTGTTGGTTTTAATTCAAAATTATTAGCTTGGATTGTAGGTCTATTTATGCTCTAATGAATTTTGTCAACCATATGGTTTGTAAAATCCTTAAGTGGTCTAAATGATCTATGTCTTGAATGGAATAAGCTATTTTAGAAATATTTTTGGTGAATCAATTTTATAAAGGGTTCTCTCAATTTTGAAATCTAAATTTAGCAATGGTTCTCTTCTATGGCTTCTTAGCATGCAATCACAATTTTGTAATCAGTAAAATAAAATAAAAGATTATAGTATGACTATTTATGAAACTTATTTAACAACATAGTAAAATTGCAAATAAAAAAAATCTTCCTCAACAACAGCATAAAAAAAACTTGATGAGAGTGGTGGAGAAAATAAAGAATTTAAAAAATAATTTAGGGCTATATTAATCCTTAAATAATGCTTAAATTTTCTTTGATATAAAAATTATAAAAACCATACTTAATATACACATGTATACATGCTGAATCAAGTAATATAGTGATAAAGTAAAGTCGATCCCACGAGAAGAATATTTACTTGCAAATACTAGTACTATTTACTACAATTACAACAATGATCTTTAATAAAAATAAATTTTAGTAGAGCTTCAATCACTTAGTTTAAAATTAATAAAAAAATTTTAAATGACATAATATTTAGATAAAATGTTTTGGATTGATGGAATGTAAAAATAATATGTTGACTATTGATTCTCTTTTATATTAATGTTATTCAAAGTATATGCATTACCGATCACTCAGTCAAGCGTGAAGAGATAAAGGACATATTAAACCCTTCTAATTTCAATACCACTCTAAACTCCCATAGAATGTCACCCTATGAAAATCTTAAAAAAGTAAGTAAAGCATGTACTATTAAAACCCCCTTCTTACAATTTATATCTAAAAATTTGGAATATGTCAAGCACTATGCCTGTACTTGCATCATATCAATCCAATATACTTGGTTGTGCCTATTTTTTATTCCTAGGCTCCATAGTACACCTAATATTAACTACACATATGGACACTATATGTATTAAATGCGGACATGGTATATTGAAAATATCATTAAATTATTGATGAAGATAATTTATTAGTACTCCACATTTGATTTACAATATCAATCCAAAACTAGGTAATTTAGCAAGACATGAAGAACAAGTGAAAAAACTCATTTTCATTAATTACACAAAAGAAAGAAAGCATAAAAATATATATATATATCATCGTATGAATTTAATGATCTCCTCTACAATCCTCTTTGAACTTACAAAATTGATTCCACAAATATTGACCAAACACTCTTATGAAGTGGATATAGTGCTTAATGAATTCCCTTCGTTATCACTCATAAGAAAATTACAGAGGAAGTATTATGAAGGCTGAAATTAATTAAGTGGTTGAACTCTCTTACTAATATTACAAATGGACAATTTATAGAAAAATATAGAAAATAAATTCTGGTGCCATTGCACTCGGGACACTTGCATCGCGGCACCCATAAAATGAACTAATGTCATAACGCTGAAGGATTTCCTCCACTATTGTGCTTGATGATGTGGAATCATTATTCAGTGAATAGACACATGAATTTGCTAGCAATTCGCGTCTTGAATGGTTATAATTATAGCGCTATGACATGAATGATGGTTGAGCGATTTGAAGTCCAAGTGGCACTCCCCTTGGCTTGGTTGTTCTAGAAATTGGCACCACAACATTGTACATACAGAGATTGGATTTTATAGCGCTGACTCCTCTAATGTTGTGACACTATTAAATAAAGGCTGGGTGCTACCATGTCCATATTAGGTACACCAGCGGTGTTAATGATGTTGTCATAGTGGTGTAGTGGCTGATGTCGTGGCACTGTATTATACTTGAAATTTTTTCCCATTTCCTACTTTTTTGTGTATAAGCACAACTAAAATTTAATGGCTACATTAGAAATGAAATATAATATTATTTTCACTCATCATATGCCATTTTTGTAGTAAATAAAATTCATTAAAGTATCAATAGACATATTATCCAAGCTAATATTTTTGAGCTAAAATCCACCATAATTTAGATGATTCAAAATTTCCTATTTGGGGGAACTCATATTGAGGATCCCAATATACACTTAGCTAGTTTCATAAAAATATGTATAATATTCAAGTATAATGGTGTTATTGATGATGCTGTTAGGATTCATTTATTTCCATTTTTACTAAGGGAAAAAACTAAGATGTGGTAAAATGATGTGCCCATATGCTCTAAAATATTTGGAATGAATTAGCACAAAAATTCCTAATTAAGCATTTCCCACCTTCTAAAACAATCAAACTTATGTGACATAACATATTTTTCCCAATTTAAAGGTGAGTCGGTCTATGAAAGTTGGGAGAGATTTAAAAAAATACCGTCATTATGCTTTGCCTAATTGGTTGGTGATTCATATTTTCTATAATGGGCTGGTAGGATCCCTTAGATCAATTTTTAATGATGAAATTGAAGGATCATTAATGTTTAAACCTTTTAAGGATGCCTATGATTTGATAGAGGAGGTGGCTATACATAATTTTTTGCGGGGCGAATCCTAAGAGAGTAGCAAGTGTATATGAGTTAGATGCTCCGCTCAAGTAGATTCAATTTATATGAAATTGGATAATTTTAGAGTTAGTTTAGGATCTAGATCATATATTCTTTTAGAATTGTAAGTTTTGAGTTCTGTTGGTGAGAATAGTGATCAAGAGGTTGGGAATATTTATATCATCAGAAGATAAAATAATCCCTATTACAATACCTACCATCCAAGTTGAAGGAACCAACCTAATTTTAGTTGATCTAACAATAATATTGGTTGAAATAATTAGTAGAATGTCATCAATCTAATCTTGGAGGAAATTAGAGTAATTCTCAACAACCTGTAGTAAATCCTAAACCACCTTATCCCCTAGGTTTTAATAAGAATAATCAATTTAATGATATAAAGACGCCTTTGAAAAAGGTAGTAATTCAATTGAAAACTCAATTGCAAAGTCAAGATGCTTCAATTAAGAACATAAAAAATCAATTGGGATAGATTGCAATCTCTTTTAGTAGTAAACCTCATGAAATATTTTCCAATAATATTGAAAATAATCTAAAGTAGAGAGGAAAGGATCGTAGTGTGGAACACTTGAGGAATTTAGTGATGAAACCTACCCAAAATGATATATTTAAGAAAGTCTAACTGAAGATTATAAACTTAGTGCTCCTCAGGAGGCAACCCAAATTGATTGATCTTAGGTCTTCATTTTATTGTTAAAGTTTTTATTTATTTGTGTAATTTTGATATTTTTATTTTTTTATTTTGTAATTATTAAAAAATATATTTATGAAATGTGTATTGGTAAGTATGGTTATGACTGATATAATTACATATCCATTGTTTGAGAATTCATATAAGTTATAAATTTTAACTAGTGATGTTGGACTAAATCATAGAATGTCGTAGTGTTTGGCTTGCTAAGCGCTACAACATTTAAATCGGGCATCACTGCACTAAAGTATTA